GGTAGACCTGGAAGCAGGATTGACTCAATGGAGGGGCACTGGTGGTGAACTGTGTGTCGGCCGGCTCCGGCGGGTCCTAGGACATGTCGCAAGCCGGCAGAATAGGATGCAACCAGGTCGGCCGGAGGACAGCTCTGCGGCCAGCAGACGTCAGTGGGCGCTGTGAGATGTGAGACGAGTGGACACAAGCAAAGATGGCAAATCAGAGCTATCCAGAATGAATAGGCTGTAAACATAAAAGGCTAAACACGTCTGGAGTAGACAAAAATAAACCAGAATCACTCATATTCTCGAAGGCTATTCACATCGAAACAAAGTAACGTCGTAGAATGCAATGGTCAATACATGTTTACTTTATCCACAATCCCACTATGCATATGATTATGATTAGGCCTGACTTGACTTAAATGTCATCAGCACCATGACTGTGCCTTAAATTCTTTTCATCAAATACTTTCACTCGAAATGGGCAGTGAACTCAACAACAATAAGTGAGGAAATTTCTTGAATGGTTACAAGGGTCTCAAGAATTTTCCATTAGGTACGCGTAGGTTTCTACTCAGAACCACGATAATTCCACTTAAATGTAGAGGGACGTCGGGCCGGTCGGGAATGGATAGTTCGCTACTTGCGAAGTGATCTGGTTTTGAAAATGTCAGTATTGCTTGTTAAAGAACCTAGACTTTCGAGGTTGGTAAAGGTGTACACGACTGGGTTTAGAGTCGTGTTGGGGTTGCAGATCTGACGAAAAAGAATTGCACTTTTGTGAGGCAAGGCTGGGTAGACTTCAATGAGATCATGTGATATGCAAAATCCTCACGTTAGTACATATTCGTGAAGACTGACTTGATTTTCCTATATGATGTATGTACTCATTACGATAGAAATTGTGATATAGATGAATATAGTAAGGTTTTGTCAATTCACATATACTCAAGTGTGTATGTGCGTGTATATAGGTTAAAGTCTGTACGCAGTTATATACATACTGGAGTATATGTAAATTAGGGAAAATTGTATATATCCATCTTTATCAAATTTTTTCTCGCAATGACTATATGTATATATCATATAAGAAAAAGCCGGTCAGTCTTTTTGACTTGGTGTTAACTTGATGCTTTTCAAGAATAAGTCCCAGATCTCACGTTATTCGTAAAATCACGAACAAGAGCTCAGCCAGTCTTCGCTCAAAACGTTGGAGGATGTCCCGTGGACGGCCTCAATCTTAACGTCGTATTAAGGCCAAACGGTTGCAGTAGATACGAAGAGAAACTTGGTTTCGATTAATTTACTGAGACAACATTGTTATGAGGACCTTCAATTTGCATGAAAGGTCGAGCTCACCAGATGACGACGGATGAATCTTGTTGTACTGCAACCGTTTGGCTTTTATACGATATTCATTTTGACGCAGTCCTCGGGACTTCCTCTCTCGTTACGGGTGAAAACGTGCTGAGCTTTCGTCCAACATATGATGGACATCATCAGATCTGGGTGTCGTTCTTGTAAAAGTCTTGCGTTAACACTAAAGCCTGATTGTAGTTAAAATATAATATATATTTTGGGGATAAAGGTTTCTTTAAAAGATTATCAGATGTTGTTGATAAGGCTGCAAGTAGCAGGTTACTCTGATATAGTGATTCGTGAAGATTATTCTTCCGTCAATAGTGTTATTAAATAATGTATTTTCATTTATTGCTATTTCAACATCTAAAGAAACAAAATATTTTTATTGTTTTATAAATCGTTATGAATGTGGGTTTAAATCATTTGGTGTGAGTGTGAGAAATGTTAAATTAGGGTTGTTGTTGTTATTGATTCGTTTTGTTGTTTTAGATGTTGAAATAGTTTTACTATTAAAAATGGGTTTATCTGATATTTC